TGTTATATCTTCTTCTTGGATTGATCCTCTGATCATTATGTAGTGTCCTTCCTTGTCTCTTGTAACATTCTTTATTTTAAGGTCTACTTTAACTGATATGAGTATTTCTACTTCAGTTTTCTTTTGATTTCCATTTGCATGGAATACCTTTTTCCATCCCCTCACTTTCAGTCTCTATATGTCCCTCGGTCTGAAGTGGGTCTCTTGTAGACAGCATATATATGGGTCTTATTTTTTGTATCCATTCAGCAAGCCTGTGTCTTTTGGTTGGAGCATTTAATCCATTCACATTTAAGGTAATTATTGATATGTATGTTCCTATTACCATTTTCTTAATTGTTTTGGGTTTGTTTTTGTAGGTCCTTTTCTTCTCTTGTGTTTCCCACATAGAGAAGTTCCTTTAGCATTTGCTGTAGAGGGGTTTGGTTGTGCTGAATTTACTTAGCTTTTCCTTGTCTGTAAAGCTTTTTATTTCTCCACTGAATCTGAATGAGTTCCTTGCCAGGTAGAGTAATCTTGTTTGTAAGTTCTTCCCTTTCATCACTTTAAGTATACCATGCCACTCCCTTCTGGCTTGTAGAGTTTCTGCTGAGAAATCAGCTGTTAACCTTACGGGAGTTCCCTTGTATGTTATTTGTCATTTTTCCCTTGCTGCTTTCAATAATTTTTCTTTAATTTTTGCCAATTTGATTACTATGTGTCTCAGCGTGTTTCTCCTTGGGTTTATCCTGTATGGCACTCTCTGTGCTTCCTGGACTTTGGTGGCTATTTCCTTTCCCATGTTAGGGAAGTTTTTCACTATAATCTCTTCAAATATTTTCTCAGGTCCTTTCTCTCTCTCTTCTCCTTCTGGGACCCGTATAATGCAAATGATGCTGCGTTTAATGTTGTCCTAGAGGTCTCTTAGGCTGTCTTCATTTCTTTTCATTCTTTTTTCTTTATTCTGTTCTGCAGCAATGAATTCCACCATTCTCTCTTCCAGGTCACTTATCCGTTCTTCTGCCTCAGTTATTCTGCTATTGATTCCTTCTAGTGTAGTTTTCATTTCAGTTATTGTATTGTTCATCTCTGTTTGTTTGTTCTTTAATTCTTCTAGGTCTTTGTTAAACATTTCTTGCGTCTTCTCGATCTTTGCCTCCATTCTTTTTCCGAGGTCCTGGATCATCTTCACTATCATTATTTTGAATTGTTTTTCTGGCAGATTGCCTATCTCCACTTCATTTAGTTTTTTATCTGAGGTTTAATCTTGTTCCTTCATCTGGTACATAGCCCTCTGACTTTACTTCTTGTTTTCCTGTGAATGTGGTTTTTGTTCTACAGATTGCAGGATTGTACTTCTTCTTGCTTCTGCTGCCTGCCCTCTGGTGGATGAGGCTATCTAAGAGGCTTGTGCAAGTTTCCTGATGGGAGGGACTGGTGGTAGGTAGATCTTGCTGTTGCTCTGGCGGGCAGAGCTCAGTAAAACTTTAATCTGCTTGACTGGTGATGGGTGGCCTGGGTTGCCTCCTGTTGGTTGTTTGGCCTGAGGTGACCGAACACTGGAGCCTACCCTGGCTCTTTGGTGGGGCTAATGGCAGACTCTACGAGGGCTCATGCCAAGGAGTACTTCCCAGAACTTCTGCTGCCAGTGTCCTCATCCTCACGGTGAGAGAGAGCCACCCCCTGCCTCTGCAGGAGACCCTCCAACACTAGCAGGTAGGTCTGGTTCAGTCTCCTATGGGGTCACTGCTCTTTCTCCTGGGTCCCGATGTGCACACTACTTTGTGTGTGCCCTCCAAGAGTGGAGTCTCTGTTTCCCGCAGTCCTGTCGAAATCCTGCAATCAAATCCCACTAGGCTTCAGAGTCTGATTCTCTAGGAATTCCTCCTCCCATTGCCAGACCCCCAGGTTCAGAAGCTTGACGTGGGGCTCAGAACCTTCATTCCAGTGGGTGGACTTCTGTGGTATAAGTGTTCTCCAGTTTGTGAGTCACCCACCCAGCAGTTATGGGATTTGATTTTATTGTGATTGTGCCTCTCCTACCGTCTCACTGTGGCTTCTCCTTTGTCTTTGGATGTGGGGTATCTTTTTTGGTGAGTTCCAGTGTCTTCCTGTCAGTGACTGTTCCGCAGTTAGTTGTGATTCTGGTGTTCTCGCAAGAGGGAGTGAGAGCACGTCCTTCTACTCCGCCATCTTGAACCAGTCTCCTGAAAAAATTATTTCTTGACCAATTCTATTGACTCTTCACTCTGAGGTTCCCCCACGCTTCCTGTAGGTCCCGTGGTACTTTGTAGACATCACACTCTGTGAATCACTTCATGCTTAAATTATTCTCATTTTTTTTGTCACCTAATCTATTAAACTTTTGTGTCTTTTTTGGACAGGAGTGATATTATCGTCATCTCTGTATCCCCAGGGATGGTACAAACTAGCACAAAGGAGTTGCTCAAGAAATGTTTGAACAAGTGAATGAATGATCTCCTCTCACGTACAAGGTACTAACATGGGGGAAAATGTTGTAGAAATAGCCAGTACTTCTTTAGTGCATATATAACTGCATCTTTGGACAAGCATGACACATCAAGGGATATACTTAACACAGCAATTTATTTTTATCTCCTGGAGACTTTTTTTAAAAATAATTAATTAATTAATTTTAACATCTTTATTGGGGTGTAATTGCTTTACAATAGTGTGTTAGTTTCTGCTTTATAACAAAGTGAATCAGCTATACATATACATATATCCCCATATCTCCTCCCTCTTGCATCTCCCTCCCACCCTCCGTATCCCACCGCTCTAGGTGGTCACAAAGCACCGAGCTGATCTCCCTGTGCTATGCAGCTGCTTCCCACTAGCTACCTATTTTACATTTGGTAGTATATATAAGTGCATGGCACTCTCTCACTTCATCCTAGCTTACCCTACCCCCTCCCCATGTCCTCGAGTCCATTCTCTACGTGTGCATCTTTATTCCTATCCTGCCCCTAGGTTCTTCATAAGCATTTTTTTTTTTCTTTTTTAGATTCCATATATATGTGTTAGCATACGGTATTTGTTTTTCTCTTGCTGACTTACTTCACTCTGTATGACAGACTCTAGGTCCATCCACCTCACTACAAATAACTCAATTCCATTTCTTTTTATGCCTGAGTAATATTCCATTGTATATATGTGCCACATCTTCTTTATCCATTCATCAGTTGATGGACACTTAGGTTGCTTACATGTCCTGGCTATTGTAAATAGAGCTGCAATGAACATTGTGGCACATGACTCTTTTTGAATTATGGTTTTGTCAGGGTATATGCCCAGTAGTGGGATTGCTGGGTCATATGGTAGTTCTATTTGTAGTTTTTTAAGGACCCTCCATACTGTTCTCCATAGTGGCTCTATCAATTTACATTCCCACCAACAGTGCAAGAGGCTTCCCTTTTCTCCACACCCTCTCCAGCATTTATTGTTTGTAGATTTTTTGATGATGGCTATTCTGACTGGTGTGAGGTGATACCTCATTGCATTTTGATTTTCATTTCTCTAATGATTAGTGATGTTGAGCATTCTTTCTTGTGTTTGTTGGCAATCTGTATATCTTCTTTGGAGAAATGTCTATTTAGATCTTCTGCCCATTTTTGGATTGGGTTGTTTGTTTTTTTAATATTGAGCTTCATGAGCTGCTTGTAAATTTTGGATATTAATCCTTTGTCAGTTGCTTCATTTGCATATATTTTGTCCCACTCTGAGGGTTTTCTTTTCATCTTGGTTATGGCTTTCTTTACCGTGCAAAGGCTTTTAAGTTTCATTAGGTCCCATTTGTTTATTTTTGTTTTTATTTCCATTTCTCTTATCTCCTGGAGACTTTAAAAAAATTCTCTCTGTTGAAATGTATCTTCCTCTGGTTCATTAAGTTATAGTTACTTGAAAAGAAGAGGAGATTCTTCAGTCAGTAAACAAAATGTTCATGCTTGCATTACAGTCATACTTTGAACTTTTTTTTTCTTTCAATATGGAGCCTTCTTCTCAGGCCTGCTGTAGGGGGTCAAAGTGGGGGTTTGAGAAGACCTGGAGCTGTGTGGGCCAGGAGTCTCTTTGGAGGCCTGTGTGTGCAGCTGAAGGGTGTCTCAGTAAAGGTTTTGACATTTGGGAAAAGATGCTAAGGTCTCAAAAATTAATCCCAATCCTGTGCATTTATAAGATATCTTATATTTTGAGGCTAAGAAAAGTTTTTATTCTCTACTAATTTTGATACTGGATAGTGGTTATTGAGGGTAAGCAATCAGTTTGCCATCTTGAGACTGTTTTGTGGAGCTACGTGTTTTATTATTGTTTTTATTATACTTTTTTATTATTATGTGTAGTGGTTTCCCTCACAGCCTTTGGAGTGGCAGGAACTGATAGAGGCAGATGGAGTTCAGGTCCAGCTGGAAAGAGCTGAAGCCTCTGTGGAGTTATCTCTGAGAAGCCAGTAGGCCCAGTGGAGGCCTTTTTACCTTTGCAGCACCCCTTCCTCAGGAAGAACTATAAAACACATAGTCAAATGGGAGATGCTGCTCTGTCATGTTCTAAGGTCAGAACCGCCCTGAGGACCTCAAGCACCTGTCAGGCCTTTCCTGGGCCTTGAATCCACTTCACAGAGACATTAGGAACCTGGCTCTCCTGCCCCAGAGCTTTTGTCTTTGAGCCCAGTGGTGTTTTGTTCATACATCTGCCTTGTGGGGACTTTTTGCCAAGGGAATGTGGGAGTTTTGTACGCTGACTCCTTCTCCATGGAAGAGGCAGGACTAGGTGGGAAGCCTACTTGCTGCACTGTATAGAAAAGATGCCTGTCACAGATGCTGACCTCCAGTCTTTCAGTGCAACCCTGCTTTCATCGTCCCCTCTCTGGGTTAGTGAGGCAGTGACAATCTATAATTCATGCTAGAATAATTCAGTTACAAGTGAAAACCATTTCCTCTAAGTGTCTGGTTGTGGCACCTTTTAAGGAGCTTTTAAATTTGGTAGGTTGAGTAATAGTCACTTACCACAGCAACACAGCACACAACTTGGATGGTAGTCACAATGCTTTGGTTGTATCCTCACCAAGGAAACCCAAGTCTTCCAGACATACCTCTTTGGTCTTCATTACTTTCTCTTGTGGGGGCCAGCATCGCTCAAAAAGTTTCCTCTGGGTCTCTCCCTTTATCCATATTTCATGTGAGATTGACTTCTAGATCCACCAGTAACCAGTGGCAGGATCTTGAACTGTTGCCTGGTTATAGCCGCAGTTTCTTAATCTGTAAAATTTATGATAACAATATACCAATATCACAAGGTTGTTGCAAGGATTAAATGAGATCAAATACTCAATATACTAAACCAGTGCCTGGCATGGTAAATTATAAAGATTACGATTATGACTGTGATTAAGTTTAACTCTGTTCTGTTTCAAAGATATCCACTCGTAATTTAAGTACTACTTAAAACACAATCCCTGTTTTTCAAAAGCAAATACATATGAATAAGGTGCATCATTCATGTACGTATGAGTGTAAAGAATGAAAATATAGAAGCCAACCTGTCAATAGTGGCAATCTCTCTGTTGTAGAGCTACAGGTGTTCTTATTTACCTCATCTTGACTGATTTAAATTTTCTAATTTTTCTAAAGTTAGCTATTAAAATAATTTCAGTAATAAGGTAAATGATATTTTTCTTTATTTTTAATTATTTAATTTTGTAGGTAGAGAGTTTCAGAGAGCAATTTTCCCAATCAAGGGTTCTAAATCTGGTCAGTGTTTTCTGTTACCCTGAGCACTGAAGAGAATTCCACGATGAGACACTAACTATGTCAACAGGTAATAAAAATACAGAGGGAGGGAAAAGACAGTGAACCCATTGTATACTATTGATGATATTCTATTCACTGTTGAAGAGATGTGGCTTTATTCCTAAACAGGAAACACTAGTAAGCAGCTACTAACTTCAGATCTGATCTGACTTCAGAGTTGGAATGAAGCCCTTTCATCTCCCCAGAGCTTCTCTCCCTCCAGATCTCTGAATCCTATAATTCGAGATCCTCTGCAGTTTGCAGGGTTTGATAGATTTATCAGCCTACAAGACAGGGGAAAAATCTTTCTTATTTTCACTATTATCTTTCTTAGCACAGTAACATGTATGTAGGAGGATTTGAATAAAATTTTTGGATAAAAGAAAAAACAAACTACTCTTCTACATATTTGTGCAAATGAGTTCATCAAGTTTCTTCCAGAAAGCAGATTTTGATGGAGGAAGGTTGGAAGGAAATTGAAGTCTACTTTGAGTATATGTGCCCATTATGGAAGGTGAGAATGGGAAGAAACTGCAAAGGAAAGACATGTGACTGAGGATGGAATAGGCTGTGCGGGGAGTGGGGAGGAGTTGTGGGGTGGACATCAAGCTACCTCAAAACTCAAACAAGCCCTGTCTAACTCTGCACGTGGCCAACTGTTTATTGTGGTTGTTTAATGGTGGCAAGCAATAGATTTGATTCCGTTAATTAAAGGGAATAAAGGGAGACTTGCTGGGAATGAAAGAGACTCATAGAAGTGAAGGAAAAACTGAAGAAGAGGGTTCAGCATCAGAGAGGTCAGGGGCCAGTATGATCCCCAAGATGGTGAAAACTAGTTGATAATCTCAACAGAGACATGCCTCTGGGATGAATTTGATCATTTTGTTTTGCCATCTTGGTGTATCTATTCAAGATTCAAAGTCTAGCAAGAGTGTGACTTTGGCCTAGTTTAGATCCTATGCCCATCCACTGCAGGGGGAAGACAGAGAGCTTGGTTAGTGCTTCTCCAGACAGTATGCAAGGGAGAAGGGTATACCCCTTACTCTAGCAAAATTTGAGTTTTATTACTGAAAGAAAAGTAGTTATTCTGTGGCAAAACAACCAGTAATGATGACACCATTTTTTTCTCCTCAGCCACGTGCCTTGTAATAGCTTACACGTTTTCTATTTTGAAAATGGGCATAGCAATACATGTCCCTCTGTAACTCCTGGTTTGGTTTGAGGTCAAGAAAGATAATGAGTTTTGCAGTGAGATGTTATTTAGTAAGCTATAAAGCAGAGATTACAGCCTGCAAAACAAATACGATAAAATAAGAATAATCACTGTTCTCTCCAGAGTTTAGGATCTGAAATAAGGTGAACATTTATCTATCCAATCTGGTAAATAAGAGAACAATCTTTAATGATCCAGTATTTATATTTTACTAGCTTGTCTTCTGCCTAGCAGGTAAACAGATATGATAAATTCAGTCAGAATCTTAATTCATTGCTCAGAATGACTTGCTACTCATCCTGACCTGAGGCTGTGGCTATCATCTCTTTCTCTCTCTCTATTTTTTTTTCTCTTAAATATGTTAGAGGACATTTATTATTTAATTGTCATCTTACAAGGGAGGAAATACCTATACAGTATTTCAAAAGAGTTGCTAACATTGTAGAAACTATGTTCCTAAGCCTCTTTTCTATCATTGAAGAGGACCGTGAGGATTGAATGTCTACCCTGATATCTTTCAAAGGAGCTCCCTCAGAAGGAGTGATTCAAATGTGGAAGAACTGACATTTTCTAGGTTGCTCTGAGATATGTTTTTTTAAGGAAGAGAATCCTGAATGGAGGGCCTCTGAGAGGTCACAGTTGAACTCAGGGATCAGGAGACAGAGGCTCTGTAATCTTCATAAAATTTATTCTGTTTTTTATAGCAAGGTGTGGTGTTTGGCTCTTTTAAAGAAATAAAAAAAATAATTACTTTTTATTGATTATCTTCTATAACTTGCTTTGTACTCCCAACAATAAGCCTCTGAGATTTTTTTTCATGTCAGTACCTTATTTTTTTATATATTAAATAGCATTTCATATTTGAAAATGCCATAATTTGTTTCATGATTCTAGTTTTGATGGACAATTTGTTTCAGAGTTTTTATTATTATAAATAATCATGAGATGATTTTTCATCTATGCACCTCCTTGTGCACATGCATAAATACCTCTAGGGGTAAATGTGTGTAAAACACACATGCACACACACACACGTAGAGTCCTTAATCAATTTCAAATTTTTGTTTATGAATGGATAATCAAAATTTTCAACACTTCCTGAGCTGTTCATCTTTTCTCCACTGAATTGAAGTTCAATTGTATACTAAAATAATAAAAGTAGCTGTACATTTCCACATTCATCTAAACTGTCTAGCCTGTTCAATAGCTCTATTTAACTTTATTCAAATATTTTATTTGCATTATTATAATTTATCATATCATAATTTGAAAGTTATCTTGGCTATTTTTGTACATGTACACTTCTATGAGAAGTGTTGAGAATTTGATTGGAATTGAATTTTCAGATAAATTTGGGAAGAACTGCCATGTTTCTAATACTGTCTTTACATTCAAAAATATTTCCATTAAAAAAAAATATTTCCATTTATTCAATCTTCCTTTACATCCTTCATTATATATTATAGTGATTGTAATTCAGTCCACATGTTCATTGTTAATACAGAAATGCAATTAATTTTTGTGTGTTGATTTTGTACCTGTCAATTTGCTGAACTCACTTATTAATTCTATGAACTTTTTTATAGATTCCTTGGGATTTTTCTACATAGGTATTCATTTCATCTGCAAGTAGAGACAATTTTATTTTTCCCCTTCTTATCTGTATGCCTTTTATTTTTTTTTTGCCTTGTTGTAGTGGCTAGCACATCCAATATTATGTTGAATAAGAGTGGTGATAGAAGTCCTTGCCATATTCTCAGTCTTACAGAGAAAATATTGTCTCTTACAGTTATTTTTGTTAACTGTAGTTTTTTTTCAGATGCTTTTTATCAAGTTGAGGAAGTCCTCTATTATTTCTCATTTGCTGAAAGTTTTTATTGTGAATGGGTATTGAATTTTGTTAAGATTTATTTTTCTGCATCAATTGATATGATGATATGGTTTTTCTCTTTTAATCTGTTGATTTGATGAAGTACATTGATTGGTTTTGAAAGGTTTAATCAGCTTCATGTACATGAAATAAATCCCACTTGGTCATGGTGCATAACTCCTTTTTCTATATTATTGGATTAAATTTGCTAATATTTTATTTAGAAATTTTGTGTCTATATTCATGAGAAATAGTGGTGTGTGTGTGTTTGTTTCATATTAGCTTCTCGGCGTTAAATAAGTGGAATGGGGAGGGCTTCTCTGAAGAACTGAGTTTGAAGCTAAGACCCCAATAATGAAAAAGGCTGACTTGGAGAAAATTTGAGGAAGATCAATCTAGACAGAGGGAGCAGCAAGGGCAAAGGGTGTGGGGACAGGAATGAATCTGGAGTCTTTGAAGAAAAGAGGGAAGGTCATTGTGATTGGAATACAGTTATGGGGTGGAGGGGGGGATGATACAATATAAAAGTCAAAGAGGCAGGAACAGGACAACTCAAGTTGGGTCTTGCAAGATAGCTAGCTAGCTTACTTGCTTTCTTCCTCTCTTCTTTTTTAATTAAAAATGCAAAATGAAGACCTTAGAGAGTGTAAGAAGATGAATGAAATGATCTGATATACTTTTTTAAAAGCTGCCTCAGGCTTATAAGAATAACTGGATTGGTATAGAGTGAAAGAGAGAAAGCAAGCAGGAAAACAAGTTGGAGGATGCTGTAGTGGTTAGAAAGGGTATGGTAGAGTAAGTGTTGTCATTTTCATTTTAGAGTTGAGTAAGAAGCATAATTAGTTCCAAGATCTTAGTTTCCAAATACCACGCTCTACCAAATGAAATCAGGTCTCCTTGGAGAAATGTTCAAACTTTACAAGTACAAGGTGAACTTGGAATATCTTGTGGTAGATATTAAGAACATACTAAAAATATGATGGAGACATATCAGAAAGATGCCATCTTGAAATGGTTCACATTGGCCAAATATAGTATAATTAGAGCATCAAAACAAATAATGACATTATCACAATACACAACACTGAATAAAATAGGAATACACAAGTCCATTGTAAATATAATAAAATAATAAGTAAACAAATATGGGAAAAGGAAATATCTTTAGTGTAGAATGCCAATCAATAAGCAACATATGCCTGAGAAGCTTAATACCCATTCATTCATTCATTGACAGCAAATTTTTTGTGTGTAACCAGTGGATAACTCCATGTAACAAAGCTCTTACAGAACTAATTTTCTCACTGTTACGAAGTGTTAGCAGGAAAATTGTATAACAATAAATTTCAGCTTTTATTTTCTCTTTCCACTTTTTCTTGACGGTAG